TAAAATAAACTTAGAAAAAGCTATTAAAATATATTTAATTACAGATCTGGTTGCAGCTGAAACACTACTTATATATTATAAATATAATAATATTAAATATACAGCCTAAAATAAAATTTTTAGTATTAATAATATTAAATTTTTTAATATTGGTTTATAGCTAATATATATAAAAAAAGATTTTTAGTATAATAAAAGTATTAGCCAGGCAGTAATAAATAATTATTAGTATTATAATAAAAATAATAAAAAATAACTAAAATAAAATATTAAAAAAATGAATTAATAAATAAAAAATAAATATAAAGTAAGTAATAAAAATAACTGTAAAAATAATATAAAATAAAAATATAAAAAAAATTAATAGAAAATTAAGATATAGAAAATAATAAAAATATTAATATATTAATATACTCAATTTTTTTATTTATATATATATTTTATATTAAAATCTAATTAGATTATTAATTAGATATATTTTTTTTACTACTACTAAATCCTTTATTTTTATAATATATAATACTATAATATAACCCTTCTACTATTATAATATTAAATTCTATTACTTTTAAAAAAAATAATAAAATTATTTATAACTATACTACTATACTAGATAGTTTAGTTTAGTAAAAAAATATAATTATTATATAATATTTTCTACTATATTAATTTATATCTACTATTATAATAATCTATTTTTAAATTAGTATTAATTTACTGGACTTTTTATTTAAATATTTATATTATTATATTACTTACCTCTTTTTTATATATAATATATTATTTTAGAATCCTTTAAAAAAGGAGATTTTTTCAAAATCAGTTTTAAAATTAATAGAAGAAGACTGCTTTTAGGCTATTTTACTTATCTTGCCTAACCAGCATGTCTACTGCATTAAGTAGTTTCTGACATAATATTAGAATGATAAATATTATTTTTACTATTATTATTATTATAGCTTTATATATTTTACAATTCTTGATATATACAGTTAATTTGGCTACAGTAAAAATATCTGCCTTTAGCTAAATTATTATTATTATTACTATTATTATTAATTTTACTATAATATATCTTTTAAAACTTTTTTAATTACAGCTATTATAGTAGTTATTACAGCAGTTACAGCTATAATAATAATTTCATTTTTAGTTACTACTTTAATTATAGTAAGTTTTACAATTGTTATTATAGTTTTTTTTTCGTTAATCATTTCAGCTGTTATATCTGTTTTTATATTTATTAATCCTATAATTATTATATTGATTATTATATTAATTATTATATTGATTATTATATTAATTATTATATTGATTATTATATTAATTATTATATTAATTATTATATTAAACTATTGTATTAATTATTATAATAAATATTAGATAGCCTATAAAATATATACTACGGGATAAATTTTACAGTAGTATTAAAAACTATTCCAGTTATTTCAAATTTTAGTTGTAGTAATTGTAGTTCTAATAATTATAAATAATATTATAAATATAATTTTAGAATTTATTTTTTACACTTAGATTATATTAATTTTTTAAATAGTAAAGTATAAGTTTATTTTATTTTTAAATTTCTTAAATATTATTTTTCTTTTAAGTTTTTTAATATACTTATAGAGCTTGGGGTTAATATAGTACTATACTCTAATAATAATATTTTACTTATTTAAAATACTATATATTTAGATTAGGCTATTTATTTTAAAAATATAGACTGTTAAAAATTAATTATAGCAAATATTTTGAACTATATATTTATAATTATTTAATTATTTTTAAAGCTTATTATTAATAACTTTCCAGTATACTTTAATAGCAGTAATCCAGTAGTTAATATTTTTAAAGTTAATAAGTCTAATCTAGTAGGTTTTATTAACCTACTGTATTTACTATATACTAGTATTATTTTAAAATAATATATTTATATTTTAACTTATAATAACAATATCTCTAGTAAAAGATATAATTTAAAGATATTAGTAAAAAGTCTAGATAATTTAATAATAAATCTTTTTATTATACTCTACTAAATCCTTATATTTCTAAAATACTAGTATATTTAAATAAAAATAGCCAATATTAGAAGTATACTACTATATATTATTAATAATTTAAAATCTATTTTATAATTAAGAAGAATAATTCTTATAGTTATAGTTAAAATAATTATTATTATTATTAAAAAAAACAGTAGAAAAGTAGAAACAGATATTATATTTTTTATCAATATAATTATTTCTACTACTAGTAATATTTATTATAGGCTTTTAATATAGTTACTATTATTTATACTAGTATATTTTAAAACTATACTTTTTAGACCTTATTTATAGGCTCTGCTATATTTATTCATATACTGGTATTATTAATATATATAACTATTCTGCTATATTTAGTTTAAATAAACTAGTTACATATAAAAATATTAATTTTATTAGTTTAAAAGCCTATATTTACTGTAGATAACTTTTTAAATATTCTAAAAATTATTAACTTTGAAACTATACTTAAAATTAAAAATATTTTTACTTTATACTTTAGTAGTATTAGTTTTATTAATACTGTTTTAACTGCCCCAATAAAAACAGATTAAATAGTTAAAACCCGTTGATTACCTAATAACAGTTTATTAAAAGTATTTTTAAAAATAGTATTAAAAATTTAATTTTCTTAATTTTATTAGAAAAATACAATTTAGCTGGTAATAAAACTGGAGTATTAATAAAAAATCCTAAAGTTAATATTATTTTTAATACTAATAGAATTGGTATTGCTGCTGACAGTAATAATATTATATTTTAAAGCAATAGTATTATTATTAATTACTAATATTAAAAGAAAATATATTTATTTATAGAATTATATCTGTTTTAGTGTTTATAAATAATATCAGTAAAGGTTCCGGTACAGAAATTAAAAAAACTAATAGTAATAAAAATAAAATAATAATTTTAAACTTTAAATTACTACTTTAAATAATTATTTATTATTATATTTAATAGAATAATTATACTTACTTTTATATTTATTTTTTAAAGTATATTATATTCTAGCTTTTTATATTACTTTAACAGATAATTATATTACTATTAATATTACTATATTTAATATATTTTAAAAAAATATTAGTTGTATTTTTATAGCCTATATTAACAAAGTACTATATATAGTATACAGTATTAACAATACTCTATAAATATATTAATATATATATAATTTAGGATTATATTTATTAATATATATGGTATACTATTATATAAGGCAGAAGTCTTACTTAAAATAAAAAATAAGAATTAAAATAATTTTATATATATACTAAAGTACTGGTATATATATCAGTACTGCTAATTAGTTAGGTTTAGAAATTATAATAAAAACTATAATAAGTAGTATTAAATAGGCAAAAATTAATAAGCAAGTAATAATAGAAAATAATATAATTTCTAATAAGTAAAAGATTAATAAAAAAAATTAAAGTAGTTAAAAAAAAGTAAATAGCTGATGGTACTGTAGATGTTCTACTAATATATCTAATATATTTAGTTTAAATAGATTAACTAATTTAAAAAATACTGCTATTATTAATTTTAATTAATTATTAGACTTTTAAATAGAGCAAAAATTAGTAGTAGAATATACTACTAATATTATCTGTTAAAAATAGTTGCCTATAGTAAAAGATTAGATGGATTATAAATCGTTACTTAACTCCTTTTATCTATACTATACATAATATATAAAAGTCTTGCTAAAGGCGGTTGCGGCCAACAGATTTTTTTTATAATTTAGAAGCTCAATGCTGTAGGCGCTGGTAATTTTATAAATAGCTAATAGTATTTTTAACTGTAGTAAGATTTTTTAAAAAAAATCTAAAAATAATAAAAACAAAAATTCTTTAGAGGTAAAAAAGCTTTTTAACTTTAAATTACTATTTTAATATAATTATTATAATAATATAATATATTTTATAAGTAATTTAAAAAAATTAGAATTTTAAAAAAAATTAGTTAAATATAAGAAATATAGTAGTATTATTATTTTAAAACTAATTTTTACTATTCTATACTCTATTAAAGTAATAAAGGGTTAAATATATAAGGGGTTCAGAGTTATTAATATTATAATAGTTATGTATAGGATATGTGGTGGATTTGTGGGTAGCCTGTTGGGGTGTTAAGGGTTCTCTATAACAATTCTAAACTAGTACTAGTTTTAGTAGGTAGTATACAAGGCCTTAGGCACCAACTGGTGTCTGAAGCTGAGCTCTATATCAGGGCCTTAGTCCCATAACATTGGTGATATTTTAGACTTTTAAACTTCTTCTTTTCTTCTGTCTTTTATATAATTAATAATATTAATCTTTATCATATCTATGTTTATCGTACATTGCCATATCAACCAAGCCGAAAGATACCCGCAAGGCGGGAACAGACGGCAGATTGCCATGCCGAAATCCACTTCAATTCAAAACTATTAAAAATAATAGAATTTTGATATTACTTCTTTATTTTCTTAAATACAGCTATGTTTTTAGTATGAGGGCTAATAGTATAGATAAAATTTTGAAACACTAAAATTAGCAGTTTACACCGTGAATATATTAAATAATTTTTTTTTTAAAAAGGCCTTTATAAGGCATAAAGTAAAAAAATAATAAAAAGTATTTATTCCAGTACTAATAATGCATTTAATAGAGGACTAATAAAGACTACAGAGGCTAGAAATATATCAAAAATATGAAAAAAACCGGCCTAACAGTGCAGAAAAGAAAGGGAGGGAGAATTAAAAAGATGGCGGCAGAACAGGCAGAGGCGGTGAAAAAAATTCAAAATAAAACTGGAAGATAAGTGGAAGTATGTATTGGATTAATTATTTGTATCAATTTCCATTCTCTCACTAGGGCACATCTGATCTGTATTACCATCACATCCAAGATCCAGGACAACTGATTGATTAGGATCTAGGGAACCATGCTTCACATGATGTACCTGCCGGGCGCGCTCCCTAGTAGCAGCAAGGGCCTTGCGGACATTATCACTTCCCTTTGGAGCAGTAAGCGGTACGGGCTCACTGTAGAGTACCAGCTCCGTACAGTGAGCCTGGTCGTCGGCCACCAGCATTCTTGGAACTGTAGACAATCTATCAACCACCCCCGATAAAATTGTGACTTCATTGCCCAAAGTTTCAAGATCTTGGAGCTCCATATCCAAGTCATGTATATAAATTGTATGATTGGTATCATCAAGCATCATCCGATCTCCATGATTAGACGTGGCGAGTTTTTTCCGGCCAAAGGTGTCATCTTGAAATGTCAGAGGAGCTAGAAACAATTTTTCATGAGTGACATGATCTTCCAGGATTTTTTCCAAAATGAACCTGTTCATGGGATTAAGGGTAGGCATCGTATACTCACTTAATTGTAGATGGCTGAACTTTTTGGTCAAAGGCTGGTCATTGTCAGGATCAGTTTCTGCGGGGCGCTTTTTCCCGCGATAATTGCCCACACAACCAGGTTGCAATGCCATCAGCTACAGGGTACTTGACTTGCTTTATATTGGACGTAAGACACGGAAAGTCAAGCAGCAAACGAGTTCATTATTTGTTGCTGGATGAAGAATGATGTATTAACTGAGCGAATTTCTTGATGAATATCCACAAGTTTTCGTGGGACGGGGAACTGGCTTTGACTCATCTTTTATCGTGCTTTAGGTCAAAACCCAGAATATTCTACCACCTTCACACTCCCCCGCTTTGGAACAAACCACCAGGAAAGCTCAACATAAGATCATTCAGCATGGCTTCAAGCGACCCGCCAACATTGGAATGGACGTCCAAAAAAGTTCGAGATACATTTCTTCAATATTTCAAGGAAAATGGTCATACATTTGGTGAGCAATACAACTTCCTCTGGTCAAAATCTTTCAACTTAGCTCATACCTCCCGGGCACATAGTTCCCTCGTCGCCTGTTGTGCCTCACGCCGACCCGACACTGCTATTCACCAATGCTGGAATGAACCAGTTCAAGTCTATTTTCTTAGGCACAGTTGATCCTCAATCCGACTTTGCCAACCTTAGAAGTGCAGTCAACTCTCAGAAGGTGGCGAATGCCTTCCTGACTCTGCTGCTCCTTGTCGTGCTAATGATTCTACTATACAGTGCATTCGCGCCGGAGGAAAACACAATGTGATTGCAATCCAATATAACTCCACTCCGCTAGCGAGATCAATCTGCTGACTGCACTAAACCTAGGACCTCGATGATGTTGGCAAGGACAGTTATCACCATGTAAGGGCCCCGAATTGCAACGATCACGTTTTTTGATGCTAATCACTAACCATTATTTAGACCTTCTTTGAAATGCTCGGTAACTGGAGTTTCGGTGATTACTTTAAGAAAGAAGCAATCTGCTATTCCTGGGAGTTGTTGACCAAAGTATATGGACTGGATCCTCAGCGTCTCTACGTTACATATTTCGAAGGCAATAACGAAGGAGGCCTGGAGCCTGATTTCGAGGCGAAGGAGCTTTGGAAATCCGTGGGCGTTCCAGAAGATCACATTCTTCCTGGAAACATGAAGGATAACTTCTGGGAAATGGGTGATCAAGGCCCTTGTGGACCCTGCAGTGAGGTTCATTATGACCGCATCGGTGGGCGTAATGCTGCCCACCTTGTGAATCAAGATGACCCCAACGTTCTTGAGATATGGAACAACGTCTTCATACAGTATAATCGCGAGTCAGACCGGTCTCTACGGCCACTTCCCAACAAGCATGTCGACACCGGGATGGGATTTGAGAGACTCGTATCGGTATTGCAAGACAAGCTCTCTAATTATGACACGGACGTTTTTTCCCCTCTATTCCAGGTTATCAAGGATGTCACCGGAGCCCGCGAATATCGCGGAAAGTTCGGCGCCGAGGACGCCGATGGCATAGATACTGCGTACCGTGTCATCGCAGATCACGTCCGTACCCTGATGTTTGCAATCTCAGATGGCGTTATCCCCAACAACGAAGGCCGTGGGTATGTTATTCGCCGAGTGCTGCGTAGAGGGGCGCGCTACGCTCGCAAGTACTTCCAGGTGGAGATTGGAAGCTTTTTCTCGAAGCTTGTCCCCACCGTTGTGGGACAACTGGGCGACATGTTCCCAGAATTGAAGAAAAAGCAGTTTGACGTTATGGAAATCCTTGACGAGGAAGAGATGTCCTTCGCAAAGACACTCGATCGTGGTGAGCGCCAGTTTGAACATTATGCCCAGCAAGCCAAGGCCAAAGGGAATGAGAAACTTCATGGCGCCGACGTCTGGAGACTGTATGATACCTTCGGGTTTCCCGTCGACTTAACCCGTATCATGGCAGAGGAACGTGGGTTGCAGATTGATGATAGCGAATTTGAGGAGGCGCGCCTCAAAGCGAAGGAAGCGAGTAAGGGCCAGAAAAAAGCGGCAGCCGATACAGTCAAGTTGGACGTTCATGACTTGGGCAAGCTAGAAATGATGAGCGACGTTGCCAAGACCGACGATACAGCCAAGTTCGGTAAGGGCAACATCAATGCCCAAGTGAAAGCTATCTATCACGGTAAGGCATTCCACTCGTCCACCGCAGAAATATCCGACGGTGAACAACTTGGAATTATTCTCGACCGCACCAACTTTTACGCGGAGCAGGGTGGACAGGAGAATGATACCGGCAAAATCATCATTGATGGCAAAGCGGAACTGGAGGTTGGTGATGTTCAGCTTTATGCTGGCTATGTCCTTCACACGGGTTTCATGAAATATGGTTCACTAGCTGTTGGAGACACGGTTATTTGCGAGTACGACGAACTCCGTCGGTGGCCAATTCGCAACAATCATACAGGCACACATATCCTCAATTTTGCGCTAAAGTCAGTCTTGGGTGATGGTATCGAGCAAAAGGGTTCCCTTGTTGCCGCCGAAAAGCTGAGGTTCGACTTTTCTTACAAATCGCCTATAACGGACAAAGATCTGGCGAGAGTCGAGGAGATATCAACTGAGTATATTCGTCAGAACTGTGCAGTCTACTCTCAAGAAGTTCCTCTCGCTACTGCTCGCCAAATTTCAGGAGTCCGGGCCGTATTTGGGGAGACGTATCCCGATCCTGTCCGCGTTGTCTCCGTTGGAGTGGAGATTGGCGAGATCCTAGAAAATGTGAAAGATCCTAGATGGGATGAAGTGAGTATTGAATTCTGCGGTGGAACCCACGTGCAGAAAACAGGCGATATCAAGGATCTTATCATTCTTGAAGAAGGAGGTATCGCTAAAGGAATTCGCCGCATCATTGCTGTCACTGGAGAAGATGCACACACCGTGCAGCGCCTTGCAGAGGACTTTAAAAAGCGACTCGATCGCCTAGAGGCTATGCCCCTTGGCTCGGATAAAGAAAAGGATGCAAAGCAGATCCAGGCGGATCTGAATCAGCTGTCAATCTCAGCCCTTCAAAAGTCTGGCTTCCGAGAACGCTTCACTCGCATCAATAAACAGATTCTCGATGATCAAAAGGCGCAGCAGAAGCTTGAATCCAAAACCGCTCTTGAAACTGTCACTAGCTATTTCCAGAACCCAGCAAACAGCGACAAATCTTGGCTTGTGGCTCAGCTTCCTATTTCCGCCAACGCTAAAGCTGTCAGCGAAGCGATTAACTACGTCAAGGCAAAATTGTCCAACAAGACCGTCTACGTCTTGGCTGCAAGCCAAGAGCAAGGCCGTGTAGCACATGGTTGTCATGTCTCTAAGGTGGGCCCCCCTCCTCCCGAACCTAACTTCTACCGTTCGCTTCCCTTTCGTGACAAATTCCTTCTCATGCGGCTAACTTGAATGCTTGTGATTAGGCAGCGAGTGATCAAGGCGCTTCTGCCACGGAGTGGGCCACCGTTGTGTCTAGCGCAGTCGGAGGCAAGGCTGGAGGCAAGGGTCCCACTTCTGTTGGCAATGGCGTGAACCCTGATAAGGTTGATGAAGCCATTAATCTGGCATGCGACTACCTTTCCAAGTTCAAACTCTAGAATGTATAAAGTTTTATGTTTGGCAATCACATGTCGCCGGATTAACTTGTCCTTTTGTTCATATCTCTCTTCACCACCGAGGGCTGCATGTCCTTGACAAGCACAAATCTTGAATGCTACTCTCAGTGTTATTACAACTAGTTAATCTTGTAAAGTACTTAGTACGGAGGTTCCTTGAATTCTGTTGTAACCACTTTTCAGCATGAACTACACTTCATCACATCTCACCGCATTGTATAATGACAACATCCTGGTTGGGCTTATCTCTAGTTGTGCGTGTATTTTCGATCATATGCACGATCTCCATCCCGTCTACCACCTGGCCAAAGACAACATGCTTACCATCGAGAAACGGGGTGGCAGTAGTTGTTATGAAGAATTGGCACCCGTTTGTGTTAGGGCCGGAGTTCTATGATGTTAGTAGCCAAGCTCGCTATCCCAATCAAAGGTCAAAAACATACCGCCATGCTTAGCATGCCTGTATGTCTATGCTTAAGCGCAAAATTCTCGTCCGCAAACCTCGATGTTCCGTATATGGTGCAGGAACCTGTCCCGTCGCCATTTATGAAATCACCTCCCTGGATCATAAAATCTTTGATCTTGGTCAAGTCAGCTCTGGAACCGAAGAGATGGAATTCTTATTTGGACAAACCACGCGATGGAATTTGCAATTCTTGTATCCTTGGGATCGCCCCTGGGCGTTTTTATTCTCTCCAGTACAGAACTGGCGAAAGTTTTCTGCCGTGCGCGGAGTGACGTTCGCAAAAAGCTCCATCTTGATACGACCAAGAGGCTCCCCTAGAATCTTCATTTAGCAACTCGACGTTGACATAAAACATAAATGCTACTTCCGTGGTGGGCCTGTCTAAGCTCATGTGTATGGGTGTGACAAGATTAGAAGCACTCCTGTCCGACTTACCTCCTAGGGCCACATCGAAGAAAACCACTGGGTTGGCATCTTTATGGGGAAAACTAGTATCATTCTCCATGCTTGGTTTTGAATGTCTTAATTTACCCGTACTTGTTATATGGAACTAGCCAAGCAGCGCGGAATTATGTTTGTGTTGATCCCACTCCACTTGTAGCGAACACGCACAAGGCATAGAGTTTAAAGATTACGGAATGCCCATTGCCAACAAGTACATTCTGGCCTTAGCCTTGGGAAATTTGCATCATTCCCCACTTTACACTTTCCGATCTATATAAGCAGTACAATCCATCTAGCCGGTATAAACCGAGTATCTTTCTCAACCCCACCCTGATGTTCCTTCTACTTGACATGTCTGATGTTGTAATAAGATGTGTAGTGCATGTGGGTGTATTAAGGTGAATAGAAGGCTAAAGTGTGCTGACTACATAAATGGGTACAGTACTGTACAGTACAAGCCGGCTGAAAGTTAGTCATTGCGGCACCGTTCCAATATCATAGTACTACCTGTCTCGTGACTTGTTGTTGTTGCAACCTCAGCCCTTTACAAGCCTGGTGTGTCGAAGGGCCTCCCTCCAGATCTCACTCCAATGTTAAGTGTACAGCGTACACAATTCATCTCCTCCATGCCTGCACAAGCTGTTCAGATTCTTAGCTTAAATTGAATAGTGATGAACTGTGGCTATTCTCTTCAATCGTCCCTCCTCGCTTGTGGTCTCCGCCCAGATGAGCTGTATTGCCACCGTCGGTTTTGTCCTTTGAGACAATAATACCACTCTGAAGGAGTAGCCTTTACTCGATCAACACTATACAAGGAATCTTCTCTCCCCCCATGATTATACGGACTGTCTTCTGATTCTACTCCACGTGGGTTGTCTTCTTGATTTGCAAGAGGCAATACCTCTCATACTCTCAATTCTATTACATCCTCTCGGGCAAGATGTCTTCGACAACCACTACTTCGTCTCCCAGTGCAACCAACACTGATCATACTGCGACCAGTAACAATAACAGCCCTACAAGCTCACCGTTGCTATTCTTTGTTGCACTTGGTTTTGGTGTTGTCTTTACAAATCTATGGTGTGCTCCTGTCGCTCCTGCTGAGATATCTGTGCGGGATTAATCGATTTTCTAGGATCATCGTTGGAGTGAAGTATTGTTTCCGATATAACCAGCGGAATCGACAAATTCGCGGTGAAGAATCAGGGGAACCCATAGATCTACTAGCCATGCCTCGAACACATCGGCGACGGCGCGAAAAGAAGTTGATGAGTATGGACGAGGTTAACGAGCGTTTCCCACTCGTCAAATACAAAGCTTGGCGCTCTTCCCGCGCCGACGAAGGTCTCTCTACTGCCGGTGGTATTGCAGCCTCCGTTGCCGGTGATTATAACCTCGAGGATGGCCATGGCCGTTTTACCAGATCTTTTGCCGCGCCTGCCGCGCCAACATCACAGCTGAACGATAATTTACAGCTTGAATCCGCTGTCTCTCACCCTAAAGAACAACTACCACGTAACAAAATACCTTTAGGTCAATCGGGGGGAAAGGGGAGCTCTGGATTTGACGGGATTGAAGCCCATGCCAAGGAAAGTACCCAACTCCGGAAAATATTGCTCCTAGCTGACCGTCCTCCCAGCCCACGGACGAGGACGAGGACGACATCGGAAACCAAATACGTACGGCCATTCCCGCCGAACTTCTAGCTAATCCGGGTGACACCTGTGCTATATGTCTTGATTCTATTGAAGACGATGATGACATACGCGGGCTCACCTGTGGCCACGCCTTTCATGCTTCATGCGTCGACCCTTGGCTAACAGGTAGAAGAGCTTGTTGTCCACTTTGCAAGGCGGATTACTATGTTCCGAAGCCACGTGCAGAAACCCGTGAAACTGCCACCAACCAAGAACGCACCGACCGCCGTCTCATTGTACCAACTTATCCTCAAACAGTATTCTTAGGCGGAGGCCGAATCGATAGCACTGGGCCTCCTACAGTGTCACCGCGCGCACAGCAGGTGCTACCGACGTTCAGGACCGCCTTCTCCCGACTCAGACATTGGCGAAGACCTGGCGTTGACGACAGCCACGATATAGATAACACAGCTGAAATAACGATACCTTCTGATCGAGGCAGCAGCAGACTTAGCCTATTTTCTTCTGGTCCTTTTCGCCCACATACTTCTAGGCAGAGCCGCGGGGGGGATGAACCTGGGCGCCGTACCGTGGTCACTGCGTCGCTGGGCAATAATCGCACCCTCAATCAGCTTGAGGCTGGACCCGCTGTTTGAGCCGTGGCTGCCTTTGATTTATTCATGGCTTGAATAACTGACGCTTTTCATATGTCGGTTTCACATGTCCGGAATCTGGGCTGGAGCATCTCACAACTTCAATAGGCAGCTCAGCAGGGAGACTCATGTAAACTGTCACTGCAAGTCACCAAACAAACAGAGCGGTCGCTTACTCAGACTGAGGAACAGCGCGCATCTCCCAACATCCCAAAGGTCTATCTTATTGACGAGCAGTACATCGTATTTTTGAAAGCACATTGATCCTTAGGCAAACCCAGATGTATACCTCGGCCTGGTGCTATTGGGCACAAACTCAAGAGGGAGGTGTTCCCAACATTTTCAATTACTGAGCGGTGGAAACCAAAACTCAAACCAAGCACCTACTATATTATAGGCTAGGGGTGCTGTGTGGCGTCTATCCTTAGCTCATCCTATTCTATACCCAAAGCGGTATGGTAATACTTTGTTGGTTTAGTAAACACTTCACATCAACAACAGTATCATGCCATCTAACAGAGTGTGGTACTTGAATATGGTGATGATCTCAATGTGCCTGGACACTACCCGTAGTCTAATATTTTTTCTTTTAGCATCAAGGATATGCTGCCTTAAGGCAGATTATTTCTAAAGGTGATAGGGAGTCCAGTTATTTCTCCTATTCATACATAAGAAGTCTATTCCTAGGGCTTACATAGAGTACTCAGTAAGCTAGCTCAAGAATATAAAAATAGAACTAGATAATTTCAGATCCGCTGGTTTTATCACAGCTTGCAACTAGTGTTGGAATGGACTAAAGATGATAACTTGTGAGATTCTCAGGCCATCTGGCTAGGGCCCAAGGGGGTAATATACCCAGATACTGTGCTATTCTTAGAAGTATATCTATTTTTATATTGTGGGGGCCTAACTGGGCCTCTGTAAAGGAAAATCTATATATTATAATCTAAAATATTAGTCATATAATAGCTAGGTTGTCAAGGTGTGGGCTGGGTTAATAGTAATCAACTAGCTGGGTAGTAGAAATAACAGGTCTGGCTCTGATATAAGATAATCGGCGACGAAATCAGCTATATAAACAAATCAGCCAGCCCATCAACTAGAGTGGCTAACGGCCAGGTCAGGTCAGATTAATTAGAATTTTTATACCTAACTGCCAGGTTATAGTTAGATTAAGAAAATTTTTATATCTAACTGCAGTATAGCTAAAAACTAAATAGTTAATTATTTTAATTCTTTTTAGTACTAAAACCTATTTATTATATCTTTTTTAACCCTAGTACAGTTAAAATATATCTAGATTAAGCAGTTATTAACCTGGCTATCTAAACTATTACTAAAAAGTATATAAAAAAAAGCTTTTTTAAATAAGATAAAAATAACTAAAAAAAATAGTATTCTTATTATCTAGATTATTACAGAATAATAAAAAAATTCTAGTAGTATTAACAGAATTTAGCTTTTTATAAATTAGTTACTGTTATAGTATAAAATATAAAAAAAATATATAATTACAGCTTTATTTAAACTGTATATTTTAACTACAGTATATTATACTACTAAAGCTTTATATTTACTTTTAATTAAACTATTAAAAATAATTATATAGATTTTAGTCTACTTTTAATATTTTTAATTTTAGTTTAGATAGTCTATTAATTATCTTTTTTTATTTAAAAAAGCTAAATTATATATTATAGGTTAAACTTTTAAATAAAACCTGTACTATACTATTTATTTAGTCTTTTTTAGTAACTATGTTTACTAGAAATTATTTAATTAAAAACTAAATACTAAACTTTAGTAGATTTTTATAACAGCCCTTTTTAAAGCTCTTTTATACTTTAATTTATTATATTTAATTAAGCTTTATTTAAAATAAGAAAGATTTTTATATTTTTAGACTTTAAATATAATTTTTAGCTAGATTTAAGAAATACTGCAGATACCTTTAGCAGTATATAAAAATATAATAAATTATAATTATATAAAAAATATATTTATAACTAAAATCATACTATTTTTATAGAATTTTTTTACTTTTATTTTTTATTATCTACTATTTATAAAGTAGTTTTAGAATTACAAGTTAACTACAGTTATTTAGCCTATTTTTAAAAAAAAAACTATTAAGCTTTTTTTTTATTTATTTTTTAAATTTTTATAAACTATAATAATTTTTAAACTAAAATAAGCCTTTTAAGCTAAATATTTTTACCTTTTTTAAATCTTAAGATTATATGTATTGTTAAGTATTAAAAAATTATTTTATATTTATTTTTTTAAAATAAAGTTTCTGTCAAGGAGCGGGCTGGCGTCTGGTTCTTAGTCTGGCTGGGTAGTAGAAATAACAGCTTTTAGCTAGATAATTTTTTATAACTAGTTTTTTAAATTCTTTACTAACTACTGGGTTAGGCTATTTTTAGATTTATAGATAAAATATAGATTAAAAACCATAAACAGAATTAAAAGCAGATAGGCAGTTAAAAAGATTATAAATTATATATAAAACAGTTAAAAAATTAGTAGATTATTAAAATAAAATAAGTTAAATAAATTAAATAAATTAAATAGATTAAATAAATTAAATGGATTAAATAAATTAAATAAATTAAATAAATTAAATAAATTAAATAAAT